AGCACCTTCTAGTAGCGAACGGCAGGAATTAAGTTTAACATCTAATATTTATAAATACTTAAGGGGATGCTAAACCGATTACCCAACTCAATCAAGGTCGATAGTACAGACCTTTTTAATTTCAAATTCCATAATAGTGGTGACATCTTTGATTTAGTTTTTACATTATATTATATAATATATATCATTCTGCCTTACTCAACACATACATCTGTTCTCATCTAACATATGCCAGCACCATCTATCGCAAGACCACGCAACTACTGCTACACGGAATTTCGTCTCTGTTGACAGTCCTAGTCTTCGCAAAACATCTGTATGCACGTATTTTCTATTCGGTGGAAATATTTCTTTTCTAGACTTTCAATCTTAATTCTACAAACTCGGTATCGTTCGTTTCAATAATGTGACCTCAGCTGCACGCTTATTTTCAAGATATGGACTCTAAAACTCTTATATCAAGCAAATATATATCTGAGGTGACAGCTGTACAAGCCAAAAGTAAGTAAATTTTTAACGAATCTGAAACTTTTTTTCGATTGTCTTATGAAATCCAGTGCAGTTGAGACCCTGTTTGTGCGTACTTTAATTTAAGCAATAATGTTTTTGCAATCCGTACATCCAATACAGAGATTTTTCACCGAATGGAAATGTGGTAAAATAGGAGGTTTTAGCATCGCACAGATAGCAAAATACCTCCACTATTAGTACGGTGAGCGTACGGCGTACTATGCGTGCTGATATCGCACCTGTCAGGTACGTGCGTACCTAAAGGGTACAGTACCGGTACACCGTACTTTTAGTACGCCGTACCGATAATGTACGCCTTAGGTATGCATGTTATTAAAATTAATTAATTTTATAGTTTTATTGCTAAAATGAATATTATTATTGATTAATTATCTTATTCTAGAGTACACATCATAAAATTATGATGAAAAAGAAAAAGATCTTCCCTGAATTCGGGAACTAATTTCATAGCACTTCGAAGCGGTCACCCATTTGATTGCATACCGCCATTTACTATGCTTGACTTCTGAAATCGTCTGGAAACCGCTGCACTTCGATGATCCACGAACACCTGTATAATCGTGGATGTATAGCTATAATATATCTGTTCAATATATGGTGCTGATAGAAATTTATGCAGCTCAACTGAACATCCAGTCAGTTGCTGTCTAATATTTAATTGTAATGTTATAACGACTATTTTCAGGTTAGGCAATCATACGCTGTACTTTCGCAGTACCAGTTATCATGTATATCGTCTTCCCAGATAGCAAAATACCTCCACGGTATTAGTACGATGAGTGTACGGCGTACTATGCGTGCCGATACCGTACCTGTCAGGTACGTGCGTACCTAAAGGGTACAGTACCGGTACACCGTACTTTTAGTACTCCGTACCGATAATGTATGCCTTAGGTACGCATGTTATTAAAATTAATTAATTTTATAGTTTTATTGCCAAAATGACTATTATTATTGATTAATTATCTTATTCTAGAGTACACATCATAAAATTATGATGAAAAAAAAAAAAGATTTA